TCAAGGTGATTAGTGTTTGCTTTAGTTGGGCTCTTGACCCTTGACTTTATTGGCCATCTTATGATGATAAGAACACAATCTTCACCCAGATTTAGTTTCTGTGTGGAGTTATTAATCTAAAGCTTCTTATTATAATAGCTCTTTGATTATACAGTATAGCCTCCAACAGTGTAATAATGTATGAAGGAAGCATGGTAAGTCACAAGCATTTTGAACTTCTGTGTCATTTAAAAACTGAGAAACATCAAGAATCAGTGTATGAATCTCAACAATGATGACAATCAAAAGCTTCATGCTGCAATGCATGCTGGGTACCTAGTCTCTGTGCAGTGAGTGCACTTTGACCTCACATTAGTATGAGCACACATTGAGGGTGCTGTGAGGTTACACTTTTAGCTCACTGTGACCTCACATTGTGACCTCATCACGAGTATCCTGGGAGCTCATGCTGACATCACTGTGAGATCAAAGTGTTGACTGGGGGGGTTTATTCGTTTTTCATTCTTTGGCGAACTTACTGAATCTTCACTTCTGGACACGAGGAGCACACTAAATTACTCACCGCGGGTATTTTATAGTAGTTATGAATATTTACCTATATTTTAATTTGTGGTAGTGGGAAGCTCATTTCACTGTTTAAAATACGTTACAATCTTTGATATTGGAGTATGGGGACTAATCTGCTGTGACTATGTTTGCTTAGTCTGTGAAACATTATTTAGCCATGGCTAGCTGGTTATGTTGTTTTTTGACAAAATCTCATCGTTATATCATTTGAAATGTGTAGTTTAAATCGTATCTTATCTTATTCATCAGGGATTAATTTCGTATTAAAAGGGGGAAAAAGCGTTTCGAATGAATCTGAACGTCATATGTCCCTTGTTTTAGCCCCTCACATGCGGCGATACAATCAGTGGTAATCAGGGATACCTGTTTGAATGTCTAATAATCAATCAAATGAACATCTCTTAGTATTGTGTTCTTGAGTCTTTCCTAACAGGTGCTTGCTGTAAGCACATATTTCTTTAAACAGTATTGTTCTAGTTACTTTTTTTTCCTTTCTCTTTTCAAAACTTATCAGATATCACAAGATTTCAAGCAACTTCATCCTGAAGCAGCGCCAAAACTCTTTGAAAACTGGGCTACTATCAGTGACCAAATTCTTGTGTATGCCCAGCGAGAGGAAAAACTGTAATGGGTGACACCAGGTAAGCTATTTCGTATAATGTTATGTCATGATTTTGTTTTTGTATTTCACACTTTTCCAACACGTACCAACTGGTAAATACAACTTTGTTTACCTTATTATTGAGGAAATTTTCGTGTTTGAGCCTTAGCACTAAATGGTCCTCATTAATTTAGAAATAAAAAATGAAAATTCTGTCATGTCGTTCCAAACTCATAAGACCTCCATTCATCTTTGGAACACAAATTAAGATATTTTTGATGAAATACGAGAGCTCTCTAACCCTCCTTGGACAACAAGGGTCCTACCACATTCAAGGCACAGAAAGGTAGTAAGGACATCGTTAAAATAGTCCATGTGACACCAGTGGATCAATCGTAATTTTATGAAGCTACGAGAATACTTTTTTGTGCGTAAAGAAAACAAAAATATCGACTTTATTCAACAATTTCCTCTCTTCCATCTTAACTATTTTAACAATGTCTATACTACCATGCTGGGCCTTGAACATGGTAGTTGCGTTGCTGTCTATGCAGGGTCAGACTCTTTTCCATTCCCCAAAAAAGCTTCCATTCCACAAAAAAGCTTGATTTGCATGTCAGTTATATTCTAACAATAAGTGATGTTGTGTAATCAACAGGTGGGGACCAACATGGTGGAGTATTTACAGAATGCAGAGACAAATGGAGAATCGTTGCACATTTTGTGCCTTGGAGACGAGACCAGGTGGATGTGCCAGACCTTTGCCATTTTTCCAGGCCACAACATTGAGACTCTTTGCTAGAGGCTGATTATGTTTGTTTTAAAGTTTTTTTTGTGTTTGATGTTAATTACACAAAGCAGTGTCCCCCTACGTTGGAGTTTCTCCAGCATGCTGTGTATCAGATTGATGGACATGAGTTCTGTTGAATCTGTCACATTTTTTAGGACAACAGTTGTTTCACGTTTAATCATTTTTAAACTTTTAAAGTTTAGGTTCTGTTGCAGGGCTCCTTGTCTGTGGGGGAGGTTGGGGTTTTAACATTTGTGTTCAAATCTTGTATACAAAAGTATTCAAAATGTTAAAAAAAAAAGTAATTAAAATAAACAATTACATGTAATTAAAAACACATTTACAGTGGTCTCTCTGTTTTATTGTATTACAGGGCAATGATAATTTTACATTCATTTTAATTTATAACAAATAACCCAGCACATGAGTAACACAACCCAGCAAGAGAGTTAATTTCACCCACTGGTTGGGTCAAATGAATGACCCAGTAGTCTGGGTTAAATTGTAAAACCCAGCACTTGGGTCAAACCAACCCAGCGCGTGTTCTGTCCAATAGTGACCCAGCAGTGGGGTTAAGGTTGGGTTATTTTTTGTGTAGTGTAATTGATCTGGTTCTGACAAATTAACCAAAGATTTGATATATCACGTGACACATCAAACAAGCATTTCCCCTCATGGAAACAGATAAATTACGAGGTGCAGAGAGACATCGTGTATGGTTGGAACATGAACTGATGGGGCCTATTTGAAGTAATTTATTAAGAAGCCAATGGACAATATAAACTTTCTGACTGTGTGGGGCATCTGACTGCTTTCCAAGAAGAGCGCAACTGGTTTACCAATATTGTGATAGTGTCAAATGAGACTGTACAGGGGCTGAGGAGCTGTTCCTGATGCTGTGGAGGCTGGGGAGAGCAATAGGCAGTTCCGTTATGCTGCTTACCGTCAATTTGTTGTGTGGCAATATGGGGCACTGGGACAGGGGCACAGGGTGGTCATTCCCAGCTGCTGCATGTGGACAATACGTGATCGTTTCCCTGACCCCCATGGACAGTATCAGGGTTATGTTCCACAAAGATAATGTAGATGGTGTGTTCAAAAAAACTAAATAATTTGTAACAATACGTAATGTAGACACTTGATAGAAATATTTGTACAAATTCTCTTTATTTTTTTGACTAAGTGCTCTTCGCAAACAAATTTGTTACTTGTTCTGTGGTACTTGTAATTTTTTCTAATAAAGACATATTTTGTTATCTTGACAATTCAACGAAAAAATTTCTGTACATGCACAACAATGAAAAATACAATATAACAATGATGATCCAAACAAACATCTTAAATTTACATATACCCAGTACATTATAAACAGCAAAATATATGTATATGCTCACTTTCTACAAACCAGAGGTTATCAAATTTGGTCCTTTGGAGCCACTGACCTACTTTTTTTTCACATTGCAATCAAACACACAAGAATAAGGTAATCATAGTTTTATGGTGTAAAAAAAAATATATAGTCATGTAAGTTGGATCCAACTTTGAGTCTAACACTGCAGACATGTTGATCTTGAAGGCTAGCATCCCTGATGTAAAGTAACAAATACAGTGTTGGATGACTGCTCAAGTTGTGCATGTGTCCTGACGTGTGTTGCCAGGGCTGTCTACAACTGGTTTTAAAGGGACTGTCCTGCAGAAAGAAATATTCACAATTGTATTCACAATTACATATCAGTGAATACATACACATAAAAAATCCTGACTAGTTGCAGCAAAGAAGGTGACAGCATAACACCACTGGCTGAGTAGTTGTAAAACATTTCAATATTACAATAATAATTGAATCCTTCATGTCATGGGCCAGAACAAAAACTAAATCAACTAACCTGTCCCTCTGCTGAGTTGTGTCTGCAACAACTCCTGGGTGCTTGGTACATGGCCACCAGACAGAACACCAAGTAGACGTGGATCACCTGACCTCAGGGATCTTCTCAATGGCATTTTCTCAGTTCTGGATAACTTCTTCATCAGGATAGCGCTCTGCAGGTCTGCTATGTAACTGTAGTCCTTCTCTACTTTAAGTGCGTCTAACCTCCACCTTCGGGATTTTTTGTTGTAAATCTTTCTATATCTGCAAAAACAAGTCAGAAGTAATTTGACATGGAATGTCTACCTGTAAATCAGCAATTGAATGATAATGCATTGCACTGAAACAATTCGTTATACAACATACTGAATTGAGCCATCAGCTCTTCTCTTGGCTGGTCTCTGAATGGGGTGGTTGTTGTCCAAGCCTGCACGCAT